TCTTTGAGTATCGTTAATAACATTAACAGGACGAAGAGCGACTAACAACAATACGCCAGCTTTTAGAAGTGCTGTTGAATCTGCTTCCTGGTGCCGAGCATGAAAGGATACAATTATTTTTCATAACCTTTTATTTTCCCTTTACGGCAAGCTAAGCAAAGCAAGTTTGTCAGCGGCAGAGTGCTCCTAATTTGGTCTCCAGTGACCTCTGGAGCTGTGATTGGCAGCCGGCGTCAGGGAGGACCTCGCGCCTGTGAGACAGAAACGAGCAGAACAAATGCCGTAGGACAGCTTGGGTTCCCTGGAGGACGCAGGCTAAAAAAGGTGAAAGAAGTGCAATTACAGGAGGTTTTCAGCACAGAAAGTTAATTAGCTACTAAATAGCATTTAGTGCAGTTCAACGTGGGGAAATTTATGTTTTGAAAGCAAACAGATCAATGGGCAGCCTGTGGAACAAGCTTTTGGAAAGTCCACGTTGACATTCGTGTACTTTGTACTGTAACGTCCTGGGCAGTTTTTCACAGGTTTCCCCAACAAATAGGAAGAATTGTTGGATTTGTTTCCATGTGTTTGCAGACATATAGATACGTTTCCACATGAGGATGTTTTGACATCTAATTTCAGAAATTCCGGTTAGGCTTTCATCCAGACTATCCAACACCTTTTTCCCTGTTCAGCGAGGTCAGTGTAAATCGATTCTGTTCGGGCTCTCTGAGGCAAAGGAGCTTTAAGTTCCAAATATTGTCAGCCACAGGGTGAATTTAACACAATTCTTAACCTAGTTACTCGTCTGTGCTGATCAGATGTGAGGGCAGCGTTTCACTGTCAGTGTCCGGCTCTGTGCGGCTGCGCTCCTCTGGAAGCCGGTGCCATCCCGCCATCTCCTTCCAGTCCTCTGCAGCGCGACTCGGAATGACCAGAAATATTTCAACAAATTTTTTTAATCCCAGATTGCCAGTCTGTTTTGTTTAGCACCTCTTTTCTATGTCGCTGAAGTCAGCATGTTTCACAACTCGTTATATGTGTATATTGTCAAGGACATTTTTTTTTAATCAGAACAATAGATTTGGGTTCCAGGTGCCCGATACTACCTCACTTGTTACAGTCGCTACACTAAATTTTCAGGCGTTTCGGGATAGCTTTGAACTTTTATTGATGGATGATTTATTTGAAGCAATCTGTCTCAGACGTTTTAGGCAGCCGATGCTGCCATGAGCTATTTCACCTTGCTGGAAAGAAGAGGAGCCTAGAAGGTCAGTGCCTGTGGGAAGTAGTGGAGAAACAGAGAAATACTAACCCCTGGGGAGGAAAAGGGGCATGTAATTCCCATTACATGGATGCTCATACATTATGATGATACTCATTGTCTGTAAATGATGCTTCACAAGCAGCGTGCAGGAGGAGCTGGGGCTGTAAGGAACGCTGTTATTAGGGAAGGTGTGCTGGGGTACAGCAGCGAGGGAGCCAACGGAGGAGGGTTCGGCTCTTGCAGGAGACTCTGAGAATCTGAGAGTGGGGTGGTGCACGCTGGCGGCTTGGGTGACTGCCACATCATGGCTATAATCTTCATCCCCTTTCCCTCTTATAATTACATTTGCCACATCATGTCGTAAAATGAGTTATTAGAGCTTTGTTGCTGAAATAGTCTTCCCATGTAATCGGTGCAGGTCTCTGCCCTGGCTCCGTAACAGAAGTAATAATTGGTTTTATCTCTCTGTATGCTGTAGGTGCGTACAAATGCTGTGACCGAACAGTAAGTTCGGTCCCATTACTACATCACCGCGCGTCAAGAGTCTCACTCGCAGGGCGGCTGACCTCCTCGGATGGGGCGGGCAAGAGAGTTCCGGAGCGGTGGGAGGAGGCCGGTGACTGCCTCACGCGGGCACTTGCTTCCTCGGGGGCTACAAAAGCTGGAGGAATGTAGATATGGTTGGTTGGTTGCTGTAGTTGATTGTTGAGTGGAGAAAATACATCACCTCCTGGTCTTGCTCAGCAGCGAGAATGGGATGTATTTTGAGACAAAAGACTAATGGGACTTCAGTAAGGGCAAAAGGCTGAAGTGGAATCATGAATATGTCTGTGGGTTTCCTGCTTCAGGTTTTGCTAATCCTCCTTATTATTTTTCCCCTGTCCCTTTTATTCCCGTGGACCATGGCACTTATTCTCTTGTTTTGCTGAGCAGTGCTGCATACTAGCTGGCGCTCTGTTTTTCCTGGATCCCACAACCCAAAGTCTCTCTGGAATGTTCCTCCAGCTATTTGCCTCTCAGTGCTTCAGCTCCCTGCTTTTGCAGGGCACTCTGGTATAAATTCCTCATCCAACAGATGTAATAGTCTGACAAATAATAAATTGGAGAATTCTTCTCTTGCATCTGTGTATCTCGTGTGCCTAGTTAGAGGACTCTCCAAAATCCATTAAATTAGCATTGATCATACTACTCGATGTTACTTAAGTACAGAATGATCTCAATATTAAAATTATTTTTAAAAGTAGTCCAACACATTAGAATAATTTCTTCTTTTTTTTTTTTTCAATCAATATATACAGGAAAAAGTAATTTTAAACACAGTGAGTTTTTTTCTTAACTTCCACAGTGACTAAGTATGCACCAATGTATGAGGTGGTACTCGCTCTGTGTCTGTGCTATGTATGAGTGTACGTGTTTACCGACCTATTTGAAGGGCATTGGTCTTTCAGATTTCATCTTCTACATCCATGAAAACACTGGAATTTCCCTGGGCTGCACACTCCAAGGCACCACGCTTACACTTACTGGCATTTTGCTGTCCAGAAAGGGTAAATCCACTTACACATATTGCTTCAGATTGCTTCTTTTGTAAATTGTAAACGTTTGTCTTGAAGAAGCATTTCCAGAAAATATAACCGGCCTCTCTAGCCCCTGAGTTTTCGGGTAGCTGCTTGTGCACCTGAAGCAGATTTTGGTTACGTAGCAGAAGGAACTGCAGCTGGCGATAGTGTTCTGTACTGAGGAGCTGCACAATTCCCAGGATCAAAGCGAACCTGCCCGGCTCTACTGGTAACTGTAATTTCTTGGCAATCGTCTCTCTGCCACTGGTGGTTTGAGATGATGCTCTTGAAGGATGGGCTCGTTGGCCCCTGTGACGAGGGAACCGCAGGACAGTCATCCTCACAGCCACCGCGTCTTCCAGCCCTTTGTCGCACTCACCAGCTCATCTTTGCAAGAGTTTCAGAAAATTGGTTGCCTCTGCTTAGTCTTTGAGCTAGTTTGAGTCATCTCTTCCAGGAAAATCCTGTGTAACCAGCTGTGGCTGTTACGAAGTGTTGCTCCATAAATACCAGCTGCTCATAGCAAGCAGTCCAGCACAAGCGTCTCGTACCAGGACTGCCATTACTTTTGCATTAACGTGGGATACTGAGTGTTTTCAGAAAGCGTTCTATTTTGCAGCTTTATCGGAAAGTAACACTTGATTTCTCACAAAGGCCAGTACAGTTTTCATGGAAAAATTCACAAGGTGCAGGTGCTGGTGTGTAGCTGCGCTTGTGAGACTGGGAGTATCCCGGTGTCTACCCTAGAAACACTGCGCATTCCTCTTTGAGTGAGTTTGGGTATGTCGTATGGTCCCTGCTCACATGGCGATGTTGCCATGTCACTTCTAAGACCTCAACCTCCGAATGGCTTGAATGTAAGTTTTGCTTTGATGCTTTCTTTCAGAAAAATGGAGCAGCAGAACTTCGCGAACAGAGTAGCACAGCCGCGCTTTTAGCTGAAAGTAAAACAGAGTTCATCTCATCTACATAATGCTGCAGAACTAGAGAAGGGGGCTTGGGGATTTATTTCCCATGCGTGTGGGCGCTAAGGTTTTGAGTCATACATTGGAACGGGGCGGCTCGCAGGGGCTCGGTTAAAAATTTAACCCACAACTAACTGGGATGTCCGGAGACCTGTCCATTGGAATGCAGTGACCTGAACCGTGGGTAGATGCTGCAAATAAGGCTGGTCCCTGTGGAAGAGGCACTGTAGCCAGGCTTGGAAAGCATACTGATGTGGTGTGCTGCAGATGCATGCTGAGTGTGTGATTTTCAGCGTTCAGTGCCTACATTGTTAGATAAGCGGATTAGAAAACATTGCATAAAGTGGCATTGCAGGGGGCTGTCTTTATACCTGCTACTTGCCTTGTTTTGCAAACCCTGATTTCACAGCGGAACCCATTCAGAGCTTGCGCTGAGATTGTTCACATGTATTGGCCTTTTTAAGAATCAAGGGGTCACAGTTTCAGATTCACTTAATTCTCAAAGCAGTGATATTTTTCTTTTGGGATCAGGGCTGGTGGCAGGCATGTGGGCTTTTTTAATCTAAACTCAGTTTACTCTTAAAGATAAATCTCTGAGGCGCAGTGAGCTCCTACCGTATTGGACAATGGTTGGGTTCACTTTCTCTACTTTGCAGTGGGTTAAAGCGCTCATGTGTAATTTCCCGCCCCTTAACTCTCCGAAGTTTCAAGTTTGCAAATGGAAACCATTTGTCTGAAGTTTGTACACACGAATCCAGGCTGGTCAAGTCCACTGGCACAGGTGTAATGAGAAACTCAAGTTCAGGGGAAATGTCTTCGGATCTTACTGGGCGCAGAGGGAATTTGCCAGGTGAGATCCCTACTCAGTGCTGCCGCCTGAATGCACTCACTCCTCCCGTCCCTGGGCTAGGGGTTAGGGTTAGGGTTTGCCTGCTCAAAAGTCAGTGTTTTGGGGAATGTTTTTCACTCTCGCCAGTTCCATGTGGAATTCAGGAATGGACCCAAAATAGCATGGTTTTGGGGGATGGTAGGGAATTAATTTAAATAAAAAGAATTTAATCTCTTATGTGGGCTGTCGGTTATTGACGCCTTAGACCTGCACTGAACTCCAATTTCAGAGCTCTGTCAAAGGATTTTTCACTTGGAGCATTTGTGGTTATTGCATGTAACTGCTGCCTTTGGCTGACGGTCTTGCGGTGCTTTCTTCTTCCACGCTCTCGTCTGCAGGGACACGTGTGACAATCGCATGACCTGCTCCACCAGCTCTGCCTCCAGCCTCGACACCAGTGCCCAGTTCCAGGAGAATAATGGGCCAACGCAGGGCACCAGATGGGACGAACAGCAGAAAGTATTTGCCCTCGAGCAGGTCTGCGGTGTCTTTAGAGTGGACCTGGGACAAATGAGATCGCTTCGCCTCTTCTTTAGGTAATGTATTTTTGTGTGTGATACTTGTATGTGCTCTGGATCAGTGCACACTGGGCTGTGGAGACAGATGGCTCCTGCCTTCCTCCTTGGAAGTC